GAGTTAAACGGAGTGCTGAAACATCGACTCTGCAGCTATTTTACTGTTTAACTGGAACCTAATCAGGGATTCTGATCAGTTCATCTTTAAACTTGATCTGAACTCAGTGCACAGCTCCAGTCTCAGGTGGAGGCTGATCAATGTGGTTTCTTTAGAGCTGATATCAATCTGTAGCGATCAATGAGATCAATAACTGATAACAGATTTTATTAGCAACCAGTTAAAACAATAACAACCAGATAAATGCTAAATACCATCAATAACCGGCCGACAGCTCGTCTGGAGCTTCAGACCTGCTGACACGTATCACCTGATGTAAATGTCATGTGTCTATCTGCTGTACTGATGAAGTTCTGAGGCTCAGAAATGATGGAAAAAGTCCATTAAAGTGATCAATCTGGACCCTCTTCTGTGGACTTGAAGGACCTGGACCTCTGGAACATTCACAGTCTGAAGGTAGAACTCTGGTCAGTAGATAAAGGTGCTGCAGATACAGAACCAGATGTTCTGAGGAGGTTCTGGAGGAACTCTGATCAGATTTAGTTGTTCTTTCAGCAGTGACCTCTGAGTCTCTGCAGGATGTTAGTTCAGACTTTTCAGACTGTGTCCTGATGAAGCTGCAGATTTTAAATTCTGCTGGTCAAGGATTAGGTCTTCCCGCCTACAGATCCAGACCTCCGACCCAGTCCAGACCACTCACCACGTGTTCGATGCCGCTGTACTCTCCCTCCGTGTTCTCCCGGATGGTGACCAGGTTGACGTCGGTGTACGGAGTCTTGTAGCCCTCGATGGAGACGCAGGGCCGCACGTTGGCGTACAGGTCAAAGGTTTTCCTGAGCAGCAGGTTCATGGACGGGTGTCCGGCAGCGATGGGCGTCTTCAGGGGTCCTGAGGAGGAAACCGATCAGCTGACAGCTCCACGTCACGACTGGGTTCACCAGAACTCTGCTCACCTTTCAGGCCGATCTTGCTCCGGTCCATGGACTCCTTGGCGTCAGGAGGGATCATCCACCTGCCGCCGGGCCCTTTGATGGCAGTGACGTTCCTCTCCTCCCACCTGATGGGAGCCTGCAGGGAGGAGCTGGGTTAGTCTGACATCCAGACACAGCGGTGGAGACCTTAGAACTTAAACAGAGAACCCAACAATCCCTCTGACTGGAGCCATTCAGCAACGGTGGGAAGGAACCAAGAAAACTGTACATTTCATAAGCTTTTTTTTTTTAGACCTTTCCCAACATGCATTTGTGACTGACTGAACACCGGCTGTACCACGCCATGCCAGAAGGTGCTCTGTGGATGTTCTGCTCCTCTCTAGCTGCTGGGTGGAGCAGACCAGCACTCACTTTGGCTGCCTCAAAGATCTTCATGACCGCCGTCGAGATCTCTGGACCGATTCCATCCCCTGGAATCAGAGTGACCGTCTGCATCTGGACGGACAGACGGACAGAAAAGCTGTTTTAAACCTTTGTCATTTGGTGAAATGCTGGAAAGGACACAAAACCTGTCAAAACCCTGAATATTAACACACAAAATGATTTAAATCATTTCAAAAGATAATTCTATTTCTGGTCTACGTTGTCTATGAATTTCTACTTGATCATAAATGTTGTTATTCTTTGAATGTTAAAGTAAAACTGCAAAGCTCTCTGAACTGTCTGTAATAAATGTGCTGCACAGAAAGACTTCAACATGAACAAAAAATATTTAAACTACCATAATAATATGAATAATAAGAACCTAATGCTCCCCAACAGTCTGTCTGTGTTTTTAAAAATTCAATTCAATTCAGTTCAGTTCAATTTTTAAAAAAACATACATAAAAGGAAAACTAAGTTTGCTCACATTAGATCCTTGGATTTGTTGGATTTTAATTCATATAATTTTAAAATCATAACTACTTTGTCCAGTTAATCTGCATGATGACGAACGCTGAATGCTCTTCGCCTTATTATTTATCACAGCCAGGTACACGTGTATAGATTTTATACTGTTCCAAGTCCACATGTTCACATCACTCTGGTCATGTTTTCTCTGGGAGGTAGTGAAGCGTCAGTACACAGAATAATAACCGTCCTGCAGAATGACCAGGAAGTCAGAGACAAGGTTCAGAGCCAAGAGGAGAACCTCACGAAGGGGGTATTTAAACATCAAAGGAGGAAACCAGATCAGATAAAACACTTTAAATGTGTACACTAGCTGTGCGGTGAGTCAGATGTGCATCATTGTGTCACAGCAGCAGACGGTGTTGTGCTCTTTAACGAAGCCTCCAGATGTTCTTCAAACAGGAGCATCACTGTTCCTGTTTCCTCTGCACACTGACTGAAGGCTGTGTGTCCGCAGCACGTCGCTGGTCTGCAGCGCGTTACAGAAGCGTGGGCCGGTGTCGGGTGGTCGGACCCTGAACTACTCACCCCTCTGGAAAAGGAAGCTGAGGACAGAGCCGGTCTCCTCACGGCGCCTCCCACCACCTGGGTCAGCTGGAGGAGAAACCAAGGTCACACAGAAACACTGGAGCTGCTCAAACACACAGTGAACCTGAAGCTGGGTCGACACCGGACACTCAGAATCTGCGGCTAACACTTTTCATCTCCACTTCAATGACTTCCATTGTGTCATAAATAAAACCAAATAAAAACAAACCAGTTCAAGTGTTTTGACGTGAGCAGATGTCAGCGTGTTAACTTGTAGTCCAGGTGTTCATTTCCACTTCCTCCCTAAAACTTATGAGAGCTGAGCACATCCTTATAAAAATGAACAACCATTACGTGAATGTTCCTGCTCTGCTGTTTGGACTGAAGCTGAATGTCTATTTTCTGTTTTTTTGTGGATATTTGGATCAGTGTACTGTACTTATGATTCAACTTAACTTAAATTTCACTGTAATAAATAGCTACATGGTGGGTTTAATTTATGCCGAATTTACCTGAAGACACTCAGCTGGTTGGAAGCTGTCAGAGTGTTTCCTAGCTGGTACGGATTTGACCCAAACTGCTAGTAAACCTTAAAAACGTAGTCTTTAAAAACGGAGTTTGGTTCTGGTCTCCGCCCCTCAGCAGCCACACGAGAAGGTTGAGATTCTCAGATTGTATGTTGACTTTACAGAGATTTAATTCAAGACGAACTTACTTAAGGACACTTTGCTTGCTTTACGAGTTCCAGCTAACTACTACAATTCGTGGATTTAACTGCAAGTTAATCTTAAACTGCTGTAATTTTAAGCGGAGTTTGGTGAAGTCTCGGCCGCCACACCTGACCTCAGAAAACTGCCTTTTAACGACCAACTGTACTGTAGATTTTACTTATGTCGAATTTACTTAAAGCTACTCAGCTTGTATCTCAGCTTGAACTGATTACTACAATCCACGGGGTTCCTCTGAACTACAGGTCAATCTTAAATTAGCAGATTTTTAAAGGGAGTTTGGTGCTAATCTCTACACCAGCCTATCCTGAACCAAGAAGCTCCAGCTCCGGTTTAAACGGCAGTAACACCGGGGAAAGTGGACATGTTGTTGCGGTAGACGGTCGTCGGTCATAAAGGCGAACGTTTAAATAAAGAAAGAATTCGTTGAAACGCGATAAAACGTCTCCGTTAGCTCCGCTAGCTCCGTTAGCTGCAGCCGCTGTCATCTCAGCTGAAGGACACCGCTAGCTGCCGGCTAACAGGCTAACAGGCTAACAGGCTAACGGCGGCGTGAGAAAGTGTTTGAGAGAAAATAAAGAAAGTCAGAGTGAAGCTGAAGTAATCAGATGGTTCAGTTAAAACTCAAAACAGTGTCCAGAAAAGAAACACGCGCCGTTAAAGAATAAAAACGGATTTAAACCTCCTCCTTCTTACCATTGACCTCCACGCGCTGCCTGCCATCCTGCTGGGAAGAGCCTCACGCACAAAGATCCTCTGACAGGAGCACTCACTCTGACCTGCTGCCAGAACCGGAACAAAGATCCTCTGACAGGAGCACTCACTCTGACCT